TATTTAATTGATAAATTTCGTTATTTTTATTATTATTTTACATTTTAAAAAATTCATTATCACTATCATCATAATACAGAAAAGGATCATCAGGATGATTATTATCAGGTTGATTTTGACCATCAGCTTTTTGTATTGCTCCTCTAATCATTCTAGTAGTTGACGATTCCCTGTATTGATGCTCATATTCGGCATTATAATTAATCCAATCATCGTAATTACGAGTTGGCTGATATCGAACGTTACAGATTAGAGCTGATGTTCAGAATGGAGCTGTTCAGACTGGAGCTGGTCGAACTGGAGGATTTATTAGTCGCACATTCAGAGTCGTCCTTTCAGTACTAGCCGATCCAGTACTAGCTGATTGAACTGGAGGATTTATTGGTCAATTCAGAGTCGTACTTTCAGTACGAACTGGTCGAGCTGAAGGAGTTTGTGATCTATTTGGAGCTGTCTCTTGAGTACTGTCATTAGGTTTACAAGCCCAATCTGGTGCATTATTTGGTGGTAAACAATCTTTATAGAAGCGATTATCATCTTTGAACTGAGCTATTAATAACTGGAATGATTGTTATGATAATGCATGCTTGTCAAGAATCTCACGTAAAACATTCTTTAAATTTATTTAATACATACAAAGTAAAAAAAAAGTTAGCTTTTGAAATAAACAAATACATTTAAGAGAAAAGGTTGACAAACCTCATCTGAACGCCAAGAATAATCATACACAACTATTCGACGCTTCCCTTCTTCATTTTCTGAATCAGTTTCGGATTGTTCAGGTGAATGTACTTGACCTTTAAGCATATTTAAGGTAGCGTCCTAGTCATATTTTGACATTCGGTTATCTCCTTCGTTAAATAATGCTACTACGCCTCTTATTCATCGATCCCTTTTCTATATTTACGAAAAGCCAAATATTAATAAAAATAAATATAAACCTAAATGAATTTCACACTGCACCTCTGCTACCCAATTGTTGTTGTGTACTCGCTGACTGGTCCTGTCTCAAGCTCCTTTTTGTGCTAACAGAATGCCATCCCTTTGATGCTTATGTAAAGCACGTAGCCAGTCATTTAATTGAATGTATGAAGGATTATGATGTGGCTTTACTGATTTTAATAATTCAGGTACTAATTTTTGCTGAATACTTCTGTTATCCAGACTAGTAAAAACTTCGTCGTATTTCATTTCATATTCAGACAATAAGTTTTTTAAGATTTCCTTCATCTCGGTCTATTGAAAGAAAAACCTGACAAAGATTAAATAAAAATCATTATAACATAGTAAATTATCCCCATATTTACGAACCCTTGCCGCTTCTTCATTGTTTTCTTGGACTTCATCAGAGGTTTTAGGCTTTTTAATCTTCTTTTTCAGCTAATCTGACACCTTATTTTCACTCGATCTTCAGCTACGCGATTGAATTTCTGTCATCAATTCGTCATTCATTCTTCTGAGCTCCTTATTGATGAAAATTAATGCGTCATTCTCAGTCTTTATACGATCCATATCCTCCCGAATTTTCTTAACTTGAACAAGAAAATTATTATGCTGATTCTGCCAAAATCGAACTTGTTCCTTCCAGCTATTGACTTCGTCTTTTAATCATTCAATTTCTAGATAAAAAATTGAGTAAAAAACTAAAAAAGCAACGTATATATATGAAATTTATTTTAATTATGATTTACTAACCCTCTTCCGGAGTCATCGACACATTGATTTGTGCATTTCTGCTTGCAGGTATTTCAGGTTTTCTATTCTCATTATCATCAATTATATCTATATAATTTGATACTCGAAGCCCAGGTACTCTTTCTTGAAGGTTTCAGAGAGCTTCTGATCTTCTACTGTTATGAGAGGATTGAAGTTGATCACCTTCATTAGGCAGAGGTGTTGATGCTTGAGAGCAGTGTGGTGAATTTTTACTATTTTTACTATTTTGGTTTTTAGTCATTTTGTATTAGTACAAGTAAGAATAGTATAAGTAAGAATAAATAAATTTGAAATAACTGAAAAAGCTACTTTTATAAAAAAATTAAAATTCAGTAACAGGCAGAAGTTCAGTAACAGTCCGAATTTCATATGAAAATTCATGCGCCAAAAATCATCATGCGAAAATTTAATAAAAAATTCTTGACGAGAAGATTAATCACTAAAAATCGTCATACAAAAGGTCATGCGAAAAAAAAATTAATAATGTTCTCCAAAAATCATCATGCAAGAAGATTAATCACTAAAAATCGTCATGCAATGTGAAAAAAAAATTAATAATGTTCTCCAAAAATCATCATGTGAAAATTTAATTAATCACCAAAAATCGTCATGCAAAAGGTCAAAAATTTGTCATGCAAAAAAAATTAATAAAGTTCACCAAAAATCATCACGGCGAAGGCGAAGGTTAATAAAAAAAACACGCAGAATGTAGCTTATTAATATCGAAAATCACGCAAAAGTTCATAATGCAAAAAAAAATTCAAGAAAAATAGAAAAGAAAAATTAAGCGATTAAAAATAGTAAAAAAATAGTCAAAAATAAGTTTGATTTAATTTAATCAAATTTATTATGTGATTGACTAATTGATTTATTTTGATCAATTTATTAA